CGATTTTCGAATATGCACTACTTTTGAAATATAATAAAAGTCTAAATAAAAGTCTATTTCACGACGAAAATTGAATAAACAAAAATTAAGTAAAATTATCATTATTAAAGGGTGAAACGAAAAACGTCCTAAAAAACCCAAAAATCGTCCTATAAATTACGAAAATCATCCTAAATATCACAAAATCATGTGGAACGGGAATTCCTTAGATTGTAATAACGACAGCATCAAATGTTATTAGCGATATTTTGTAACATAAAATTGAGCATTACGAATAGATGTAGCCGAATGTTTCTTTTTTGACGAAATATGATGAATATGAGACGCACGTAAGCAAGTATCACACGATAATATCGCCATATCTGCCTCATGCGATTTAGAAAATATGCGTTTTGGACACATTGAATAATTTTGTGAGTAACTGTATGTTTAATTATATATTTCAATGGCAATGGGACAACTCAGTAAAATATACTGTAACAAACACAATCTTTCTTTAGGATGTTTTTCTCTGTAACAAACACAATCTTTTTTTAGGATGTTTTTCTCTGTATCTATCTATCTATGAGGTAGATATTCGCTAAATAATTTTTAATTCAGATAGATGTCAGATTAGATGATCAAAATTGGAAGTTATATAGAAAGGATAATTAGATGCCTTTCCTAATTATCTATCTTATCTAATCTTATTATCTAAAAATAGATACTATCTAAAAAAAACACTGGTTGTGACTATTTCTGTTTGAAATATTTCTCTTAATTTTCAAATATGCCAAATATTTGAAATATAGTCAAATATGTCAAATATACGAAATATCAAGATGCATTTTGTGATCAAATAATGCTTCAATATTTGAAATATTTGACGTATTTGAAAATATTTGGAAATATTTCACATATATTTATTCGTCGCAAGCCCTTCGATTGCATGTGATCGACTTGTTGTGTGATCAAAATTTGTGTAATGTGTGATCAAATGATAAAAATGACTAAGTAATGAGTGTAAACAGATCGCCTATTGTTGTTTTGCCTAGACAGCAAAATTACCTAGTAGTCAATGTATGATAAAGGCTGTGCAACCGCCACTCTAAACTGATATTTTTTGCTTATTCGGTAGTTTCAATTTATGTGCACGGTGAAATTATTTATTCAAAATGTAAATTGTAACAAGTTGAGCGATAAACAAAAATAAACCACAGAATTTCCGTGCTTTTTTGCCTGTGCTTTTTACATTCTCCATATTCATTTAAAGCTGGGTTTTTCTGGAAAATTTCAATTGTTCTACATGAAATTCCTGTTAAAATTTTTGTGTTTGCACAGCGTGATTTGTACACATAAATTTTGTTGACCTTCATTTAATACCCTTTTTTCTGCTTTCGAGAGAGAAAAAAATGATCTCTCGTATGTACGAATTTTAATGAAATAAACATGTACCCTGACCTTCAACACCAATCCTTTATCTACTTTGCGCCCCATTTTTAATAGTCAAATCGATTTTATTTCTGGTGCGTTGATTTTTTTTTAGTGAGAGTTTTGGGAATTGATAATATAGTTCGTAAAAAAAGCTCGTTTTTTATTGATTATTTTTCCAACCGGGACAGACGTAAATGAAAACAGTCATCAAATTGGTTCAACACAAATTATTTGATCACACATATACATTTGAGAAGCAAGAAATTTAAACGTAGTTGAACATTCATATTGCACTTGTACTACATATAACTAGATATTTCTTCGTTATCAAACAAACGAATTGTGACCATTTCACAATCATTGGATATTTTCACATTGTAACAAAATCATTTTGAATGATATATTTTAAACGGCAACACATTTTTTATGTATGTCATGATAGTGAACTGGAAATTGGAATATCATCTTCGGTCGTTCCAAATCTACATACTGTGTACAAAGCAACCGAAAAGCATGTGCTCACTTTCACATGATTATAAGTGAACTATGGAATGCAATGGTGAAGAAACCGCTTTACGAAATAAACTGAATAGCGAAAAAAAAAATCGATGAAAATTAAATATTCAGCACTCGATTGCCAAGGGATACGAACATTTAAACGTGGATGAATTAAATTCTAGATCGAGCGTTTTAATTTGATTACACTTCGTTGCAAAAACACATGCTCACACATTGGAAACTATTCGTTACCTCCACGATTTTTAAGTTCAACAATTTTACGAGTTTTTGTTCAGTATCGTAACGCTGACGTTCAAAAACCAAAATTCAATATGCAATACATCATTTAACTACTTGACACGAACGCAACTGTTGAAGGTAAAAAAAAAAACGGATTGTTCACGTGTCTAATAATCAATCAACAATTTTTTTCGAACATTTTTATGAAATCACGTGCTATAAATTTTACAAGATTCCACATACATAAGTAAACAAGAGCGTCAACACTTTATTCAGTAGTGGCATAGCTGCAGTGTTTACATTATACAACGAACTTACGTAAACCATGAAAAGAAGAAAAAATTGTTAGATCAAATAGAAGAAGCGTAAATAAGGATTGGCAATGTCATTTGTAAAAGTCCAACAACAATACAGAGGCTTACTGTAAAACGAATGTGCGTCCATTTGACGAATGCGAGATGAAAACGCAGTGTTGTATCCGTTAGTCGAAGATGGAAAGATGTTCGCGTAGGCGATTGCGGTATTTTTACGGTAAAAATTCAACTCACTCAATAAGACAAGGATTGGTTTCAAACTAATTGATATTGATACCTGTTTTTACCTCTTATGATCGGTTGCATCAAAGTTGTCTAATTCTATAATACATATCTATTCCGACTTTTTGCCGAGAGATACCAATAAATTTGAAATAGATGTTTGTTCTCCGCATGTTTATGTTTTCATCTATTGTGTCAAAGTGCTTGTTTGAATTTGGAAAATTTTCTTTTCATTGTCACGTTACGACGTGTTATTTTATTTACACAAAAAAGAATATTCTCGTTTTATTCTCGTAATTAATGAGTAGAAAAAAAAATAGAAATTTGTAGCTATTTCAGGCTGTTTATTCTCATATTTCAATTGTCCAAACCTTTTTTCAGTTTTGGATGCGTCGTCGATCGAATATTTTGTTGAACACTTGTGAAAACAATCATCACAGTTTTATTCATTTCGAATGTTTGAGTTTAAAATCGATTTACTTTTTTTTTTTTAAATACATATGTACTATTTATGTATTTTCTGTGTGTGTTTTTATTTATTATTTGTCGAAAGAGATTTCAATCGACGCTGATTGTTTTTTTCTATATTTCATTGAACACCAAATCAATAAAAGCAACCCATACGGCGTATAAATGTGGGCACTGCGCGAGAACAATACTTTATCCTCGATTCGAATGAATAGTGTGTTCTTTCTGTGTCTTGAACAAGGGAAAATACTAGTCCATGTGTATCTCCGGCTGTGCTAGTGTATGTCTACCTTACGTTTTACTTAATTGTACTTGTTGTTGGATTTGAATTGATGAAAACAAGTGCTTTTAACCCTCGGTTCATATGTGATGTTCTCTTCTCTCCCTGACAACATTCAAACGGCAACACACATATACACGCAGTGCATGTATTCGTTGTTTGACTTGGTCGCAATGTGTATTGGTGAGTATGAAATTTATAAACATCTAATGTCGACCAAATTTAAGAAGAGCCAAAAAAAGAGAAACACTAATATCATTGGATACTTAGATACACCGCCGAAAACTATCTTGAAGGACCAAACAGAGTTTCTGAATGAAAAAAATGTGTCAAACGTTGACTGTCACCAAATTTGTTGGCGCTATGCATCAAACGCAAACAAATTGGTGATACAAATCTCTGCATATTATTAATTCGGGCTAAACTACTGCGAAACCGACCAAAGGAGGCTGTTCAGTTTATATGCACTGTGCTTGCATGACATTACCCATTCGTGAAAAGCAAAAAAAAAATGACTGACCACAGTCACTGAATCTCATATAATCTGTATGATTATGCCTAAATAACGTCTCGCCCAAATCATGGGCTATGATAACAGCAAAAATATTCTGCTTGGTTGTCAAATCGATTTTTTTTCATAAGGGATGGTGTTTGTAACTGAAGCGCATTTGGTTTTTGTCATATATCGTTCGTGAAAAATTCTGCAATGTCATGTCGACGTTGACATCTACTCGTATTTTCATCCTATTGCCATCAAGAAACTTTATTAAATAATGGGAAAGAGAATATTGACTGTGTTGGATTGCACTACTGTATAAATGTATACACGGTTCCGGTGCAAAATAAAAATTCCACCGGCATATCACTTCGCACAATCTTCACTATTTTCACTATTTTGATGTGTGCCTCAAGTTGAGGCCCTCAACGAAGTTTATTTGCCAGTGAATGCATACTTCGCACTGTAGAGCAATCTGAGTGAGAAAGATAAAACAATATGTGAGACGTGATCTACGTGCTTTCCGTTCGATACATTGTTTTGTTTATATTTGTGGAATTGTTGTATACGCATGTAGTATCCATTTATAGCATCATGTTCGGTCAACAGCTTGCAAATGCATGTAAATTGTGTTGATGATTCTGGCAAATACCGTTTTTTTTACGATGATTTGCACTGTGCGTTGCGACACATACTCTCTCTCACACACACACACATACACTGATTCGTTTTTGCCGATGTGCTAATTGGTTAGTCAAAGAGTTTGGCGAGATTCGTGTTGACGTATTTTATACTTTCGAAAAATTCGACTGAAATGTAAAATGCTGTGTCTTATTTTTAAGGCATTTTATGTCTTCACAAATATTTATATGATGACTAAACGTATTTTTCATACTATGCGGCGCCGTCAAAATTAATGTTCTGAAGAATTTTACGTATTGTTATTGCGAAAAACACATTTTTTGTTTGGGCAAAAAAAAGAACTTTGAAAATCACAAAATGCGAAATTACGTGTAAGAAGAAATTCTTCTGAAGAACGCGAATCTTATGATAAATTTTTTATACTCACTTGCTAATATCTACAACGGATGACGCTTTATCTTCCGCGCAAGTTTCTATCCTAATATCGCCGACATCAGTTCATTTGATCAGCATTTCCAATTTTTTTTTTCTTTGAGGGCTTATCAATTGTAAAATCCCAACTTTTCTCTTTAATCGATATTCTTTGCTTCAAAAAATAAGTTCATCTAAGTGTTTGTTGTTCAAATGTTCTTAATGTGTAATGTTATACGACAAAAGTTCAACGATGTAAACAATTTTAAAATTTAAACACAATATTTTGGAGGCAATTTAACACGCATTCAAAATTATCGCTCCAAAAAAGAAATTATCTGTTTTTTCGTTTGGTTTAAAAATTTAATTATTTTTGGCATGCCGAATCTAAAAAAAAAAATCTTAATTTTGAAATGGCACATCGTAACCGATAAAACACTCCCAGAAAATCGTTTACATGCTTGCGCGGTCGTAGTACACGACATACGTTGTTCTGGTGTACATTGAACAATGTTTACTGAAATCAAATGAATTTCGGGGCAAAGCGTCTATCGTACATGACCGCAACACGGTGTCACACTCATAGAAACGCACATGCATGGATTACACAGACATCTAAGCCAATACACACACACACACACTCGTTCATGGAGAATAACAAATGAAACACGTCTCTCGTCCATTTTTCTGGTTGAGCCCTTCGTCATCGTTGCATCGACACTAAACATATGAATCGTAACGCATGGTTCACATTGCTTTCGTTTCACCAAATACCATTTTCAACTTGAAGTCAATGTCAGCCAAATTATGATAAAAGTTGAATTGTTTGTTTAATAATTGACTATTGCACTATATTTATGAGAATTAACAACAGTTGAACAGTTGAGCTGAAAAAGAACAAATAATGGTTTCTGTTGTGAACTGAAACGTTCAAAATAGTTCAACAAACGGTTCACATTAATCGTGTGAGCCCGGCTTCATGTTGACATCATTTGGTGAATCGTGTTGTCCTTTCAGTGATGTCAAGTCCATAACAGCGGTCTGTTTTGGATATTGCGTTGTTCCTGTGAGATTTGCTATTTTAAGCTATGGAGCTCGAAAATCTTAATCCAAATGTATATAAAAAGTCAGACGACCGAAAAAGTGTTGCAGCTGATTGGAATGACAATGTCGACGATCCCTTTGATGAGCGCGAAATTTTCGGTAAGTGTTTTTCATTGTTTAACAAACAAGGATCACATTCTGATTGATTGTTTTTCTCCTCTTCTCAATTTATAAAATAGACCTTATCCGTTTGATCAACGATCCGGAGCATCCACTGACATTGGAAGAATTACATGTGGTTCAGCAGAATCTTATCAAGGTTGACAATGAACAAAATGAAGTTTTTGTCAATTTTACACCCACAATTCCACACTGCAGGTAAGAAAATTAGTAGACCCACAGCGGTATTTCTTAGCTGTATCGAATGAAAAGTTGATAGAAAAATTCCATATAATAATGATTTTCGTCTTATTTTGGATTTGTTCATGGCAGCATGGCCACACTGATTGGCCTGTCAATAAGAGTGAAACTGTTACGATCCCTACCGCCTCGATTCAAAGTAACGGTCGAAATAACACCCGGAACACATACATCGGAAATTGCTGTGAATAAGCAATTAGCTGATAAGGAGAGAGTTGCAGCAGCCCTCGAAAATAGTAACCTCATAAATGTTATCAATCAATGCATTGCCATTTGATTGTACTTATTGTTGACCAGAGATACTTCACAGCTTTGTTACTTAGCATAAGTTTAATTTTTGTTGTAGAGAAATGTAATAAATCAAACGAAATAAATGTTGTGGAACAAATATGATTTATTCGTGGTTTTTTTTTTTCAAAATCAATTCTACATTAATCAAACAAATTAATTTTCGGCTTTTTTTGTTTTTGTCGGATCGAATTTGTAGGTTCGAACTAATGGGCCAGTGCCAGCCCTTTCAAAATTTATTTGATCTAATCGTCTGCGATCTTCAATTTCTCGTGACATTTTCAAGTTGGACCAAGCTGAAAAAACCAATACCATTATCATCATCATTATTATAATCGTTGAATATGAATATTAAAATTAAATCAAACTAAAAACTTACCTCCTTTAACATTTTTAATGACACCCTGCTTCTTTTTTGGTTTAGCTGGCAAATCGTGCTTAACGAGTTGTGGGATATTGAAAAAGGTTCGCACTCTTGGAATTTTGAAAATTGATCCCTGAAATCAAACGATGGTTATTAGAAAACACCATTAAATGAATAAATATTTGTTATCGTCATTGTTTGGTTTACTTGTATCAAGGAGCAAAAGTTACTGGATGCCCAGTAGACGACCATTGCAGATGGAAAGTTCATAATGAATGGGAAAATAACGATTGGTATGCCTCTCAAGATGAATGTGTACAATGGACTTTCTTGACCGGGTATACGGGCACTTTCCGTTCCCAAATGAATGGTTAGTGCCAGCGTACCGCATGTGAGCAATGGCAATAGATAGTAGGGATCAGCCAAAGTTAAATCTGTGAACCACAGAGCGCCACCGGTATGTAGCGATTCAACGGGCGCATTTACCATTCGTCTAATACCAAGGAAATATGACAGAAAAATTGGCATCTGGGCAAATGGTATAAGCATATTTTTCATTGGATTGAATCCTTTTTCCTTCATCATTTTCATCAATTCCTGATTGTATTGGGCATATTCCACAGCGTTTCCCATTTGACGGGCTTCGGTTATCTTGTTTTGAATTTCTTGCATTTCCGGCATGACATTTCGCATAACGGCTGCATTTCGTTGTGATATGACGACCAATGGTGTCAGAATAATACGAATTAAAACCGTACTCAATGCAATCGTGACATACCACGGTAAATCACATGAGACATGCATAAATTCCAATACATTTTGCAGCAGACCAATGGGTGAATAACCGCCCAAGCCAAGCGAAGCGAATGTTGGTTCACCATTAGCAGCTAACGCTTGTACTACTGTTTCTTCGACCGGTGTTGCTGGAACTTCAGGTATTTTTAGCGATGCCTTACTCTCTAAATTTTCTACAGCACTTGCTAATACGCTGGATGTTAGACTAAAATTCCGTTGTGATCCAAAACATGGTGCTGATCTGAAACATTATGATATCATTGCACTTATACCCATTTGAATTATTTTGGATGGATTTCACATGCACTCACATTCGCTGCAAGATTATTTTATCCAATGATGAATTGTGTGTTCGGACTCCGATATTCTCTCGACGAGTGGTCCTGACTGACATGCTGCTGGCCATGGCATGATGATTCCTGAAGCGCAAACCATTTAACTGTACAATTAAAATGTTTAGTTATTAGTTGAAATTTATTTGAGGTTAAGAACGGAGCTCAATTGAAGAAAATTGTCAATTTACATTCACATAATTGGCAAATCGACTGGGTGCCGACCCACGCGAAATGCACCAGCATCTGGACAACATTTTGTTGGGCTCGCGACTTATGCAACCAATTTTTTTGACCAAAAACCTATTCTAATTTTCCGTTCCAAGTAAATTATCGTCCGATTCAATAACTTTTATCACACATTCGTTGGATTTGGTTATGTCAAATGTTATGTACCCGGAGTGGTGAGTATTCATCTTTGAAAAACAATTTTTACTTCACCCATCACCATCAATCAGTTCATTATTCATAAGAATTATGTCTAAAAATGTTTCAATAAAATTTCCTCTGTTTAAAAAGAAAATTTGCTCAATAAAGTTAGAATACAAAAAACGTATAAGATGAGTGAAATAGCCGAAATTCGATGTTAAACAAATCTCATTGGAATTTTCGTTCAACTTTGACAGCAGCAAGGTTATATGAGTGTGGTGAATTTGGATTTGACGTTTTTGAACGTGCATGAAATAAATTGAACGAAACAAAAAGCACAATAACAACAAGAAAAGAAAGAAAGCATAATAGATTGCATATATAAATGCGTACATTTTTATATGTGTATATTTATATCTAATGACTTCTGTCAAAAGAATTATTGAGAAATTTTGAATTTTGATTGAACGTAATATTATTTTTTTCGCTGTGCTGCTAAAAGTTTTAAAATTAAGGAAGTTCTGGTGGAGCATCTGATTTGGCTGCAAAATTTACCATTTTGCGCGACAAATCATCTGCTAGTTTTGGTGGGATTCATTTTGACTGTAGTGGATTTAATAAATTTTTCATCTTCTTCTTTTGTTTTCGATTTTTTTCTGGCATTGAATCGAATGTTGTGCAAAAAAACATTTCTACTGTGAATCGTGTGTGATCACAGAACTGAAAAGAAATATCTTGTGAATTCAGTGCATACAATATGTAACATTTATGAGACAATTTAATGAGAACTTTGATTTTGCTATGTGGAGTGGCGAATGATCCGAAGAATTTGATATTGTAGCAGCAGCACATGAATGTTTCTTATTTCGAACAGTGAATCTTGTTGTGAATCTAAAACATCCAAAAGTGTTTGTTCGATCGTTTATATCAACTTCGGTGTATTTTGTTTTTTAAATTTTGATTATTCTGCGTGGTGATTGTTACAAAAGTGTTTTGGATCGCCAAAATGGAACAAAAAGTCCCCAAAGTCTAGAAGAAAAAGCAAAAAAAAAAAATACACACACACAATTCGTGCAACATGATAAATATTCGGAACGAGCAGCTGAGTGGTAGATAAACAGTGCATGCAAAGAAAAGAAGGGCGAGAATCGTGATAGTTTTTTTTTAAATACAAAGAAGCAACAGCAAAATCTAGCAAAACATTGGAAAACAATGAGTGGCCAAGTTAGTCTTAAAGAAAACGGAATTCTTGACGAATCATTGCCCACATTGCTGGAAAATGTTTTTAAATGTTTGTCGAAAAACTTATATTTGCTCTATACGGAGAATGAGTTTAGCAGTGAAATCAAACTTAGAGATGACATCGTGATCCCAAACGAAATTTGTGATAGGTTTGTTTTAAACACGTTGCCATAAGACAAAATACAATATTTATTATACATGCGCTTCCAAGTAACAGCAGATTTGAGCATTGTTTGTGCTCAAATTGTTTATTTATTGCTGGTGTTATTGTTTTTACTTGATTTTTTCTTTCGTTACGGAGTTTAGTTTTAGTTTTATTTTTATAATTTTTTTTCCATTTTTTTATTTCGTTGAGTTGAATAAAAAAATCTCGTGTTGTTTCATATTTTGACAATGGGCTCGTTTCGTTGGTATCTGGGAAAGCACTCGCATATGCACGGTGACCTTAACCCAAAAACCGCTGACTTAGTGTGTTTGAATGAATTATTCAAATCTAAGCGCTCTTTACAGTATCCAAATCGCTTTGTATTAATCTTTTGTTTCACAATCCAGAGAAAAATGAACTTGATTGATTCACGGTGTTGTGCGCTTTATAATACCATTCAGACTTTCGCTCTGATATGACTTTGAAGTGAATCGTTTATGTTTGTATGTGTGTGCAAAAATGCTCACATGTTATTTTTCGTTTCTTACAGATTTTTTAAATATCGCCAAGACTGCAGTGAAGATATAAATGACGTATTTGTAAACATTTTCCGTGATAAGCATAAGACACCGTTAAAACATGTTGCTCTTCGAAACTGTTCAATTACTGATGATGGAATGTCGATACTTCTGAATCATGATCTGGTTTCGTTGTCATTGTGGTACTGTGACATGGTGACACTAAAATCATGGCAAACGCTGATCGAACATGGCCAAAATTTGGAATACTTGGAATTGGGTCGTTATGTTGACATGTTGAAGTATAGCGAGCCAAATGAAAAGACACCGATTGACTTTACTTTGGATTTGCCGCACATACGAAAGCTCATATTGACTGGTGTCGTGCTGCAGCCAACTGTAAATTTCGGCTATCTAAATCAGCTCAGCTACTTGGACTTGACACAGTGCACTTTTCATAACGACTTCACATTGGAAGCGGTTGTCAATCTTCCAAACCTAACAACACTTATCCTATTCAATGTGTGGCCATTAGAATCTGAATTACCAACGATATGTCGAATGAAATCATTGCGAAAACTGGACATTTCAACGGGATATTTCAATACGAACAACTACGGAACATTCAAGAACCCCAACGAGGTATGATTCATAGGATCATTCGATTAATTCCATGGGAGCCATTTCATTTTAATATTTTTGTTGTTTTCGTTGTAATTTGTGGTACAGACGTTAGCGGAAATAGTTGAAAGTTTGCCAGAGCTAACCCATCTTGATATCTCCGGAACGAATTTGGCTGGCAACGGTGTGGCTCAATTTGAGGCGAAAGAACAAGTGCGCTCCGATATTCCTGGACTAGTTAGTCGAGCCAATAGGCCATTGGAGTTTTTGGGTCTTTACAATACCGCTCATTCGGCGTGCCGTCGTCATGATATTCCAGCTCGTCATGTAAGACATCCGTTGAATTTTCTGGTTGCAGAAATTGTTTTCAATTCAATCGTGTATACTTTGACTATGATTACAGATCTCTGGCGATGCGAATGAAGAACAAATCCTAACGTCCGCTTCTGTTTACAGAGATCGACCAATTATGTTAACAAAGGTAGGTGCCAGTGCATGCATTCCGATTGTGTAAAGTGTTCATAAAATTTGATACGCACCAATTACTGACAAAAGATTCAAACTTATTTCAGGTTTTAAATGATTTGTATCATTTGTTGCGTTTTGAAACTTGTAAATCAATTCATAGAGCTTTTGAAGTTGTGTTATCAGCAATGGATAGGCATTTGCGCGTTAAACATATGCAAATTTCTGGCAGGTTAGTATTGATGATCTTTCGGAATAAAAGAAACGAAAAATGCCATAAAATCACCGATAATTTATTTAAATTCATGTCTTTTTCGGTGCAGTGCGACACTTTATTATATAATCAAAGGAAGAGATAAACATAAATATGGTACTCCGTTTAAAAATCACATTATACGTACCTTGTTAAATGGAATGTCAACTCATATAACTGACGAGGTTAGTTGGCTGATTCATTTTCAGCATCTGCCATTTTAACATTTTACTTATTAATCAAATTTGAAAAAATCCATTTATTTAGACGATGATGCGAAATGGTTGCCTTACTCTTTGCCAATTTTCAATTCCGAATGACGTCGTAAGTTTACATATGCATTACTCATAAAATTGTCACTTGCAATCAATCATCACTCGATACAAATGATGTATCTATCTTCTTCTTAATTTTCTTTGCAGTTATTCGAGTATGAACGTTTGGTGAAAATACTGCTACATGCCGTTTCGGATACAGAACAAGAAGGATTCGTTCAACGGATAGCCATTTACTTACTTAATTCATTAGCTTGTTTGGTTGACGGAAAGCAAAAACTATTTCTAGGTGATCTCGGAGCGATTGGCGTGAGTATTGAAAATGAATGCACATAAACACATTACGTTTGAAATTAAATTTAAATGATGATTTAATTTTCAGACCATGCTAACCTTAATATACGATCGATTAACCCGTCAAGTGTTTGACGATGTCATGGAAGTGGCTTGGTCAACTATGTGGAATGTGACCGATGAAACGGCAATTAATTGCGAACGTTTCCTCGATGGGCGAGGAATGGAATACTTTTTGGAATGTCTGCAAGTAAGTATGATGAAAATTAAATTCGTTGCGATCCATTTCAACGATCTGATTATGGACAATTCATCCATTCAGTGTTTCAACGATAAAGAAGAACTGCTGCGAAATATGATGGGTCTAGTTGGAAATGTTGCTGAAGTGAAGCATTTGCGGAACCGTTTAATGAAATCAGAATTCATAACTGTTTTCTCTAATCTGCTTGACTCAGATAGTGATGGAATCGAGGTAAATCTAGCCCCCTTTCAATGATCATCATCGAAGAAGAACAACAATTAATCGGAATAATTTGAAACGGAATGAAATTACAGGTTAGCTATAATGCAGCAGGCGTATTGGCACATATTGCATCAGATGGTTCATCGGACTGGACAATCGATACGCCAAGCCGGGATGAGGTTCTAAGTCGAATGTCTAGAGCAATCGAACGATGGAATTTGAATACTGAACGCAACATAAATTATAGAAGTTTTGAGCCAATATTAGGTTTAGTCCGTTGTTATGATACGCCAGAATGTCAACATTGGGCCGTGTGGGCTTTAGCAAACCTCACAAAAGTGCGTATATGAGTAATTGCAACATATTTGTTCCTTGAACTAACCACTTTTTTTTCATTTCATTTGTGTACAGGTTTACCCATCAAAGTATTGCAGGTAATAAAACGAAGAAAATTGGAATATGTTTTATTTGTCGTATTTTTTGTTTATTACACTACTCAACAATTTGCTCTGACATCTCTAGTTTTTGAGATATTTCACCGGGGCAATTCCAGGCGCGTGTTTCTCGAAAATCAACAAATTTTGTAGTAATAAGCTAGTAACTCCCAGAAGATTGTGAACTCCCAGAGGATTTAAAATCCTTTCATTTAAGCCTCTATTTGGCTCTTTATTCCAATTCTACCTTAAGCTATAGCACTTTTTGTACAAAGATCAATCCAACAACAAGACGTTTGGTCCACGTTTAAGCGTTTTGAGCCTCCAAAAAAACAGCATATCGTGAGTCTGGCATAGTATCTGCCCTGAATGTTGTACAAGAAGACTATACGAAGATTTTAAGTGTTAGAGGGTCAAAATATGTGCATTGGTTTGGTGGAAATTGGCAGTCAAGCGTAATGACTAAGTTGCAAATTCAAGGAAATTTAATATCATTGTTTTTGAATTGATCTTTGTACAAAAAGTGCTATAACTTTGCGTAAAATTGAGATATCAAGACAAATAGAAGCTTAAATGAAAGGTTTTGAGAGCCTATTTCACAATCTTTTCAGAGTTACTAGCTTGATATTACAAAATTGGTTGATTTCAAACATGTGTTTTAATATTGCTGAGCATCTCAGCATTTTGTAAGGCACGGATATATCCGAGCATATCGACGACGCATACTGTATAATACAGTGGCGTGTGTTGCTACGTGCAGCCGCAAAAACTCGACCGAAGTGTGTTCAGTTGTTGTGGCTGCACGCAGCAACAACATACACATTCCGGTCGATTCGTTGCGGCTGCCCGTAGCAACGCACACCACTGTATGCGTCGTCGATATGCTCGGATATATCCGTGCCCTACGAAATGCTGAGATGCTCAGCAATCTTAAAACACATGTTTGGTTGATTTTTCAGAAAAACGCGCCTGGAATAGGATGAAATTGCACCGGTGCCATATCTCAAAAACTAGAGCTACCAGAGCAAAACTAATGGCAGATTCGGATTCAGCGGCCCCAAAACCCATGACAAATAATCCTTTCCTCTTGGGTTTTTTTTGCCGTTGAGTAGTGTTATAGGTACATTGATGAAACCATTTTGTTTTTCTCTAATCCAGGTTGGTGGAAGAGGAGCACGGATTAGAATTGCTGAGAGAACTAATGAAACACGAACGACCAAATGAAAAGATCAAGGCATTGGCGGAAATGGTCATCAAAAATTGCGAACAGAATAAAAATAATACCGAATCCATGCAGCTGGATGGGTGATACTGTGAAAATGGTTGAGACAAGACATACAACAGAATAAGACACACAACAAAAACTTTATACTTTTTACTGGAGATTATGAAGGTTTTTCATAGCCTAAATATTAAGAGATACATTTGTAGGTTTACTTTCAATTTAAATAGAATGTACGTATGTATGCAGAGAAATCGTATATTTCCGTAGATCTAGGCCAAAAAAGGGGGACAGTAGAAAAAGAAGAATCGTAAACTAATCACACCAATTTAGCGCATACAAAAAAGAAACAACTAAACCCATTTTTCTCGCGTGGCATGAGAATTGATGCACATACAACAGTACAGCTTAACAATATAGCATCAACGAAAATGTATTTCAACGCTAGACAAAATGTGTAATAGCTTGCAGCAGCCGTTTCTTTGGTGTTGAAACCCCGCACATAGCCCATGTTTTGCCTCTTCTCATAATAATGTGCATCGAAATAATTGTAACCAATACAAACAAATATTTGTTTTTTTTTCGGTGAGATTTTAACTCATTTTCAGAAATTAACAAATAAAAAAAAAAATTTGTGTGTGAGTTTTATTTCATAAAATTCCTTTTTTTGCCTAAGGCCATGTACAATGTACAGATATACATATAGAAATGTTTTTTCACCTTTTTTTAAGCAGAGAATGGAATGAAAGAAATCTTTTTGTTCTTGTTCTTTTTGTTTCAACGGCTTGCTTTTGTAAATAATGTTTCACTTTTTCATGCAGCGAAAATTACACAATTGTTTTCTCAATTTGCATTTTATTTTTAACGCTTTTATTTTTTTGTGGATGAGAATCTGAAACGTCTTCGATTTGTTAAAACATAACACAAGCAATTTTGTTAACTTAATTCTTAAAGTGCTTCGTTCGTTAATTGCGAAGAGAAAGAAAAAACGAAAATAAAAATTGAAGGAAGTGGAAGCACACACTTTACTGCACTTGTAATTTGTAAACATTACGCGATAGGAATGCGTCAATAACCAAAAAAGTGAAGTGTGTACATTGAAAACGAAATGGTCAAACATGCTGATGCTAAACGTAAAAATCGACTCAGTTAATTTCCATAAATAAGGAGAAAAAAAAAAAATCTTGAATGAAATATATTTATTAAATTTTGAGGACTTTTTTTGTGGATGATGATAATAAATTTTACTCAAAATGAAGGATGTGCATATTTTTTCGATTCTTTTTTTTTTCAAAGCTGAATAAATGGGTAATATTGGTTTATCTTTTCGCTCTGAATTTTGTTTTTTGAACGTGAAAGTAATGAGAATTTAATGTGGAATTCGCAATACGGCAAACTCTACATCGATTCTAACTCTGAAGTGTTATGTTTACTACGAATTCCGGTGAAAAGTGGCAATATGACGTCAAATGACTAAAATTGGATCGGAATTTTAACGTCACTATGAAAGTTTAATTGAAATTCAGACATTCTCGACAAGCTTAAATAAGAAGAAAAGCTTACTTCTTGTTTCCCATCATTTGAAAACCAAAATCCAATGATAGAAAACATGTGAAAAACATTTGAAATATTTCTCTATGGTCTGGTTTTATTCCATAAGATGTGGCGCCAAAGACGTAGGTAAAAAGAGGATTGCGTTGAACAAAAGACGAATTATTGACTTGATTAAACGCAGATTAATGGAAATTCTTAAATGTTTCAACAAATGTTGGGCATATTCCAGAAGGGAAACATGTTGTGATTCGTCTCAAAATGGGCAAATAGATGAAAAAAAGAAGAAAAAAACACGCGAAATATTGTCGCCACTGATGCCATACAATGAATGAATTCAAAAAAAAAAAAATGAATGAGATCACTGACTTGAGATCTGCACGATCAAAAAAAGAATTCTTCACTTCGCCCCGTGTTTGACTAATTGATGAGCCATAGTATCAGTTCATCTGAAGTCCACTCGTCTTCCACTCACACTGTCTCTTATCCAAGGACTTTTTTGTGACGCCAATCGTAGAATTCCATGTGACGTATGTTGATGCACACTTCGCCTAGATTTTTCACGATAGTTGCACCGCTTGATGCAATAAATTGACGATTCATGCTGTCCGAATGCATCACATTGAGGCATATGAAATACTTCACACATGTCGAGCTAATTTCTATGTATGGAATGTGCACTTGTTCTAACATCTCTTCCGTCAAATCAACACATAATTGCGCGATCGTTTTCTTCGTATGTGCCATGCGTCCAGAGACTTTGTGTAACTGTTGAAAGAGCGACACAAGCAAAAGACAAGAAAAAGAGATTAGTTTTTCCATGTAGCATTACTCGTACACATATTATCGGCGCAAATTAATAAGTATATTTTCTCCATTTTTCGCTTCACAGCGAATTGTGGCTGGCATTTTAATTATGATCCAACAAAAATGCTTCAATTTCATTTACTAAATGTTTATATTTGTCCAAACTGAGAGAAAGAGAGAAAGAGATGATTAAGATAAGCTACAGTTGCCTCCTTCGATTTGTGAAAGAACGTCTCAGTACTTCATAAATAAAACCAAATTAATGTGTATTTTCTCTCTGATTCTTTTCTTGATTTTTGCCCATCAAGAAGGCCATAAGTTTGTTGTTCTTACTTGGACTTTTGGATTCAACGAAAAGTGAGTGGTAATAGTTGTTGTTGTTGTTGTTGTTGTTGTTGTTGTTGTAATAAGCGAAGAGAAAGAATGAAAGAAGACGCAAAGAAATTATATTGCGCAAAAGAGATTGATAGTGGCGCCTAGCCAGAGACACATAATAACTCTCATTTCACAGTTTTTGTAAATATCCAATAATGTGGTTAAACATGTCAAGTTGTCTTATATTATATTTGTGACACTGAATGTATTTATTATTCGCTCTTGGTCAATCTTCCATTGGTGTGTCGATGGCTGTAGTTTTCTTTTTCATCAGTTCATTTGTGTGGAGTCTTTGCTCCGGTCCCATCTTCCAAGATTTTCCCTCACCATAAATCGCTCATCGTCTTGCAGTGAATTCTTTTTCGTGTTTTTTCCTTCTTTTTTTTTTCATTAAATCACATAAAATACTCCGTTTTCGTTCATGATAAAATGAACAGAGTCAACAAAGGCAGCTCAAAAAGAAAATAAAACGAAACAGAGTTATTTGATGTCATTTTATACATTCCAACGATATGTGTATTTATAGCATCATATTTTCATTTTATAATTGAAAAATGTCTATTTTTTATCCATTTAGCTGGCGCTCACATTCCAAGGATGTTACGTTTTTGTGAGTGAATCCTTCTTTCTGAACCGTTATACGTCTAGAGAATGTGCACAATATAATGAGTGGTGGCTGCAAAAACAATGGGAGAAAATCAATTTATACCAACATACAACAATACATACATATTCGCACGAACTGCGTTTATTATGACCACGAAGAAATTTCACGCAGTAATCGATTTATCAATTCACATAAATAATGGCATATTATTAAATTAGAGATGCAAATAGTATTGAAACGCAGTAATAGAACAAACATCCCGCGACTGAAAAAACAACAACTGGATTTTAAGTTTCATAAAAATCATGAATTATCAATTTTTAACATCGTTTTTTCAAACTACTTTTGGAAGAAAATTGGAGCAAAAGCATCTTTTCGTTTGTATTCAAATTATCTCCAATACAATTCGTCAGAAACACATTGGAACATTGAAATTCCTTTGAATTTTCGCAAGTCGAATTCATTTTTGAAAATTTAGCGATTTTATGTAAGTTAAAAAAAAAACTAAAAAAAAAAGAATATTAATGATGACCAATCTAGCAAGATGCCTTGTTTTGTAATTGTGTTGGTGTTCGGTCCATTTCAATAATTTGTTAGCTTAACCCTCTGATGCATACAACCGCCTTCAGACGGGCAACATTTGAACGTCTGTATAACGTAAACTCAGGGACTCTTTTTTGTGCGCTTGCGCCCGGGTGTAAAATTTTTTCGGCGCCCTTAATTCAACGCAGCCGGAGATGAATTTCCAGGAGGTTTTTGAAAGACGTGATTTTCGGAGGGTAGGTGAAATTATTCCCAGAATCGTTTTGATGATGTCATTAACTGAAGATATACACTGCCAGGATTTTCAACATTTTTGTGTTGGTATTTCTGGTAATATACGGAATTCACGGTAATCCGTGAATTTCATAGTATATTGCCGGATCTCCGTTAGAATACATACACGCACAGCACGTCTGCGTTGACAGTTCAATTTTGACGGAGATCCGGTAATATAGTATGAATTTCACGGATTACCGTGAATTTCGTATATTATCAGAAATACCAACACAAAAATGTTGAAAAGTTTTGACAGTGTATCGTTCGTAGCTATAAGAAACTTCAAGCTATGGCAAAATATGCAAACGAACCTATAAAAGTAACGCGAGCGAAGCGAGAAAATTGTTTGCCCTCAAATCGCTTGCGCCCTGTGCATTGCTATCGGTAGAAAAAAGTTCTTGCTCACGCCTTTTCCTTCTAATTTTTTCTAATTTTAATTAGAGCTCGAGCGGCTTTGGCGCTCTCGCACTCGGGTTCGATAAACCCGTTCGGCCCCTGGTAAAAAAGTCCCTGCGTCTGATCACATTGCTTCAAAAGGCATTTTTGTTTTTCAAGATGTCCTCTATAATTTTATCTTTTGCACTATTCGTCTACATTAAGCGGTTGTTGAGTTATAAACAAGAATGTGCGCAAAAACAAAAATTTGACAAAATAAATTATTTGGTTTCCAAATAAGACACATTTTTGACACTTTTAAACTGATTACGTTTCCTGATTTATGTCAACCGTATTTTCCGACTAAACCATAAGGAATCTAGGATTATGAATATTGTTTTAATTATATATGGTCAAAAATCAACCATGTGCCAGTAGTGGGACTACAATTTTGCCCTGGGTAAAATTAATGCATTAGAGGGTTAATTAATATTACTTGGAAAAATGAGAAAAATCTGTGCAATTTTTCTTTGGATCGATGATTCGGTTCAAATATAACGGTAGAAATTTTAACGAAAAGTACAACTACTAAAAGAGAAAACCATGAGTCTGTGAAATTCATCCAAATCATGATCTTTTCAAAAATATATCATTTTTATGGCTCATTCAATTGAAGTTATTGTTTTGGTGCACGAATCGGATGCGAAAAAAAATTGTCTGTCCTGGAGATCGTCATTGTATTTAGATATTTTTTTTTTGAACAGTCATGAATTGAATGAAGATCATGCGAACGCACGGGTGATACATTGATTTGTATGTAGCTCCGTGGCTGTTACGTATTGGGCTATGTCCGCCCATAGAGAACAGATTTGCAAGAGAACTTATCTTTGTACGAAGTCAAAAATGATTGGAAAATTCTAAGACGGGATGTTTGCTATCGGCAGTTTGCTGGTAGTATGTTGCTACAGCTACTGCTATTGGCTCTGACTGTTGCTGTTGCTGCTGCTGTTGTTGCCGCATTCAGAAGAAAATTTTTCGTTCCGAACGTGATTACAAATTACAAATGAGCCCGAACCGAATGTGTGTGTGTGTGTGTGTGTGTGTGTGACTGTGCGGCCGTGTTGTACGTACTACACCATATCCCAATGGAAATACGGTATCAATATTTAGTCAGTTTGTGAACACGTCGTGATGTAGACATATTCAAAGGAGAAATTGTGTTTAATTTGTGTAATTTTTTCGGTCTCCATCAATTGTTTGATGCTCTTCTATTTTCACTCGCACGTTTCGATGTACTTTGATGGGATCGAACGATATACAGTGTGCAAAGTTGAGAAAAAAACATCAAATATTTATTTGTTCAAAAAAGTCGATATTAAGGAATCTAATTTACATGTGAAGGGTAGATCAGTTAATCTGTGCGCAGTGTTGCACAACTATATATTGGGACACGAGATTTTTTTACTTGATTTTATATTTGAGATTTTTTTTTTTGGGTTTATTCATAAATTAAATGAAGCTCGCCGTATTTGCGTTCATAAAGTGTTTTTTATTGGTACATCGCAATTGTGGAAGACTTATTTAGAAAAAAAATGAGATCAATTTATACCGATTGATAACTTATTTAAATTGTCTTGAAAAAAAAAAAAATTCATCGACCCACAGCCAGCACGAGTATCAATCAATCAGAAAAACAATAAACACTTTGGTTTTCAAAATATCGACTAGATAGTAACATGGGAAGTTTAGTGTACACCGTTATGTCAATGGTTCAAGTGGCATCACTCCACTGTTCCATGCGACCAGAAATTTCACCGTGTTCGTGTGCACCGCACGAGTCTTTGAATAATACCATTCACGTAACATGCGAAGGACTCGCCTCGTTTAATCAAGTGTTCGACTCTCTGCAAAATAAATTCAGCACCAAAGACAACATTTGGCTGAAAGTCACCAAGTCACAACTTGACGATTTGGAGACACGAAATTTCAAGGATATGAATATGAATATCACAAAACTATCTCTCAACTACGATGAATTGAGGTAATGATCATCCATTGATTTCCATTGTTTATAATTTAAATGCTTTCAAAATGTATTGGTATTTTGTGGACGATTGTGTGTTAACAATCTTAGTGCGCCATTGCTATTGTTACTGTCGCTATTGATGTTGATTCCCTTTTGAACTTTATACTTGGATTTATTAATACTTGATAACACTTATCATCTATGATGTGCAACTATGTTATGGTTGATTTCAGTTTTCCAAAAGGTTAAATGGAGAAACTGTTGCAAGCCTTGCTTTCACGTTGCAAGTGCATACATAAGAAGAACTATCGACACGTTACAATTCAATTCTAATCCGCTAAATCCAATTGGATCACACATCGACACGGTGTTCACAAGTTCAACGTCTCCATATCAATGGGATCATTTTGACTACTACAAATACAAATCAAATCACATTAAAAATAGTTCAATTTAGAAGAGCTATGGAGATTGTTGTGATCAAATTTTAAGCAAAGAGTGATTTCGTGATTCAAAATCTCGCGCAAATCTTTATCGAGTTAAAAGCTTCCATCATTCACCGAACCCATTAAAATGCTAAATGTTTACAACGAGAGAGAGTGAGAGATAGAGATAGAGATAGAGAGATATAGAGTGATGACAGTTTTAATTGCGTAAGCAATTTTGGCGCCACTCAATACACACTCGCACATACACACTCATTCATGCAATCATTCAATGTTTTTGCTTCATATAGAAAATTCCACGAAAAAAACATTCTAAGAAAAGTATACTTTGTACGGATTATGATCGCAATCATGTTTTTCTCATTTTGCAAATTGAATATTGGAGCCTGTGCGATACTCGATAATATTAAAAAAAAAAAAAAAACAAACAAAGAAATATCTACATTTGATTCGGTGCAAATATTCGTTCGCACAATCAGTTCAAATGAATATATTATTTCATCACACACGAGCGCCATATGTACGTATATTGTATATTAAGCACAAACGCACACCGCTCTCTCTCCTTCTCTCTCATGAGTGGTACATAGCTCAATTTTTAAATGGGGATCAATTGTTGTCAACGAGGTCATAGATCAAATAGGTCGTGTGACAAATTAAATATATATTTTATATATCTACATAGATATAATTTAAAATATATATCGATAGCACACCTATAAATCTTACACTGCCACGTATCTCAGACGATGTGCAGATATAAATCGACACAGATATGGATATAAACCGTTTTTAACATGAGTACTTCACATTACCAAGTTCATTATTGACGATTGATTTTTCACAAAAATCTTACGATTTGATAGACTACAAGCGGTCAGCGGATGCATCGTCATCGTTTGCATTCTATGACGCCCCCAGTATTCTTGTTCTATGTGCTGACAGTGAAGCAAAATTGAAATCCTAAAACTGTACAAAACTGTGCTGTTACATTTTTGGGGTTTTTGACCTGTTAAAATATCCTTTTTGTGTCATTGGTACAAAATTTATTGTGTGATAGCTTATAATCGTTGTCACCAAAGTTCGCATGAAATGCGAAAACATACAAATAACTCTGATGATCAAACATCCATGCACCGCGTGATCTCTTTGAAACAAACAAACAAACAAACAAACAAATGATGTATATATTTTCTATTGGTTGAAGAATGAAACACCTAAAACACTTTATGCTTATTTACTCCGCACGAGGAAATATTGGAATCTCGTTAAAATTAATGAACTATCTATAAATGATATGCAAAGAATACACATCTAAATATTACAGGATATTTGCGTTCTAACCATATTTATTATATTCATTGCATTTGAGTATTGATTCAATCATATGCTTGTGCGAATGATATATGTTTTAATTTAACAAGCCGTCATCTATTGCCAGCACATGAATGATTTTTTTTTTGTTCAGAGAATATGGGCAACACTATGAAAAAGTAAATGAAAAAAATGGCTAAGGTTCTGACAACACAACCGGCAACACATTTTCTCATGTGATTCAGAAGACAACAAAAGGAGATAATTCGAAGTGATTTCGAATCAATACCCACTCGTATTCGATGTATACATGTGACAGATTCGTAAACGGATGCTCTGTCCATCGATTGAGAGAGTGTGTGACCTAAGCAATCAAGTGGCGTCTAAAATGGTGACTTGTCGGGCGACACTTTTTTGTATTCAAATTTGTTATTATTGCTCAGTCCAGTGCTAGATATTCTTTATCGCTTATCAGTCGTTTATACACACATACACACATCTAGTTTCGGACAGTCAAATTTGTTTTCTTTCAATTTTCTTTTCTTTTTTTTTCGTAGTATGTTTTAATTACATTATTTGAAAACATGTGTACAAGTAGGCCAGTTTTCGATTGTTTCATTCATAACAATTTAGTCAGATAGAATAAATGACATTGATAAGTGTTCACAGGGTAGAATAATCATTTAAATAGTGAAATTCTAAATGTAAAAATCCTTTGACTGAACACATACGCGGATGCCATGCTTTCATCAAGCGGTTTACTTTGATTTGATTACCAATAATCGTCCAAAAATTGGCGTCGTTGTGCAAGCAATCAATTGAAATTGTATATTTAAATGTTGAAGACTTTTTCAATTTGTACTGATGAATCGGAAAATTCAATCTCATATTACCGGATAAATGACAAAAACAAAATACAAATGAGAGGAAATTGAAAATACATTTGAAATCAAATCAAAGCGCGAACATCTAAAAATAAAAGTTCGTAGCAATTCAATGAGATATCTGGCAAATTACAGAGCAGAAAGTCTCCAAGAAAAATTCTTATTTTTAATTAATTAGAAAAGCATTTTCTAATAAATTGATTGCTTCCGAAATAGTGATTCGAATTTGAATCACATTGAAACGATTTTCCCCTATAAATACAAACCGTAGTGATTCTGAAATGAATTTATAGTAAATGGAATCAATTGAGATTTTTTTATGCCGTTAATTCGACACATGTCAATGAGATAATAAATCGCAACAACTCTTCCGTTGAATTGATTTCGATTCGTTAACGTTATGACTAGGTAAAGAAAAAAAAAAAGAGAAGATTTTATCGAATCAAAGGCGATGCCGCTCTTTATATTGAAAGAGCTCGTAATCAGAAGAAAAAAACGTATACGCGAAGAATATTTGCTCATAATGAACTGAGAACGTTTTATTACAAACATATAGATATACGATGATATTTATTGCTGTATTCAATTAAATTATTATTATTTTCTTTACATTTGATGAATTTCAGAACTCTTCCAGAGTCATCATTTCGAAATTTGAGCAATTTGGGTACCTTCAGTTTATCGGATAATCATTTGGAGGAGATACCGCGACACATTTTTTTGCACATGCCAAAAATTGTCACTATGGATTTAGGCCATGGACGCATCAGGACAATTTTCACCGACGACTTTCGTAGCTTGAACGAAATTCGATATTTGATTTTGGTCAATAATAATATACGGCTTGTTGAAAAAGAATCGATACCAAGAACATTACGATTTTTACATTTGGGCCGAAATAATTTAACATCTTTAAATGGAACACTGCGCGACAATGCGCACATGGAAGTTTTATTTTTGAACGAAAATAATTTGACAAGTCTTGACGGTGAATTACCCATAAAATCAACATTTTTCAAATCGTTAATCGTTCACCATAACAAACTGCAACATTTACCGCAGGATTTAACCATGTTTATGTACTTGGACGCAGTATACATCTCCGACAATGAACTGAAAAGTTTGAATGGAGTTTTTCGGAATGCATCGTTGATGCAAACGTTGTCTGCTCACAATAATAAAATCGAATATTTGGCTGAGGACGAATTTCTCTACACTACTGACTTGCAAGAACTCGATGTAGCCAACAATTTTATTCGTGCCATAAACGATTCATTGCTTACGTTGAAAAAAGTGCGAATTTGCAATTTTTCACGGAATCACGTGGATGAGTTATCATTGAACGAATTCCGTGGATTGAGAGAATTACAAGTGGTGGATTTGTCATATAATCGAATCGAAAGGCTAACCGGTCGTCTGAAAAATGTTGTCGATCAAGATTTGTATTTCATTGAATTGCGTTTGGATAATAATTTATTGAAGACACTAGATGGTGCCATGATGAATTTAAACCGACTAAAGACGCTTGATGTTTCGTATAACAAACTCAAATGGATATCGCGGGAGGATTTGATTGGATTAGATGATCTTGAATCGCTGGACATATCACACAATTATTTGCAAACATTGGAAGAGACCTCAATGGTATATCTGATTGAATGTGTGTGCAGCATATTAGGTGTAAATAAATTGATTATTCTTCTTGTTTTGCAGACATTCCTTCCCAAACTCGAGAAACTGTTTTGTTCGTACAATAATCTATCTAAATTGGAGCGTGATTTCCATGGTTTACCGGGCTTGTGCTTTGCTGATCTATCAAATAATCACATTACACAAATTTCACCGGAACTTGTATCTAAGACACGATGCAATAGTCACGGTGTCATTAACAAATTGGAAATCTTATTACAAGGTTTGTGTTATTACTTGTTTGTCACATTTGATTTGTTTGGTCCATTAACTGCATATTAAAATTGAAATATTCGTTTAATTTGGAAATTATTACAGAAAATCCAATTCTCTGTATGGACGAACTATCGAAGCTGTTTGCAGTAATGGAGGCACAAGAAACACGATTACTGGGCATTGCGCATTGTATCGTTCCAAAAGAAGAAGAAATTCCTATTATTGAACCGCTGTTTGTACCACCAAGTGCACCATTAACACCACAAGTAGTAGTAGAAGATAAATCAATATCGGAAATGCCAGCACAATTGACGAAAATAATTGAAAAACCACAAGATGAGCTTCAGTTCAATGGTGTAATGGTGGCTCCCAACGATGTGCCCTCTTTGATTCTGTCTTCACTAATGAAATCTGCTGCGGTTTCCATAACCGACCAGCCCATTAAAGAGATCATTTTAACGACAACTGAAACTCCAATGCCAAATCCCGATGAGAATAACATTGATATCATAACTCGTACGGAACCATCGATCGAACTAATTGAATCGAGTGTGTTGACCACAGTTCCGGACACAGTACCCTTGATTGCTGAAAATGTTACTGTACACAATAAATTGGAAAATCTGACAGTATTAGAAACAACACCGTCACCCAATCCCAAATCATTTATACTACAAACAACAGAGACTCCAGAAATATCAAAACTATCCACATCACCGTCAATAGCCGAAATTATTTTGGGCGAATCGGAATCAGTTTCAAAAAGCCCAGAACCAGATAACTATATTTATGAAACATTTTCGCCAATTTCGCCCGTCAACACTGGAGCCATATCATCACTTCAACGAAATGAACATCTAGTTTTACCCGAAGAACCGCCGGCTGCATAGACCATTTCAAATGAATATACAATTTACGATAAAAGATAGAAACTAGATTAAGACAAAATGAAGATTAATCAACTTTTCAGCGAAAATGAATGTGTTTTAGTATTTAATTTTAGGTTACGGAATCTCTAATATGTTTTTTAGCTTTGAAATTGATTTAGATGAAAAACCATGCAGATTTTTTTCTAGTTCAAAAATTGTGACCACATTGAATCATGTTTTATGTGTAAGAAATTCATATTTGAAACCCTAAATATTTAGTTTAAGCCGAAATTATCAAATACTTTATTTAAATCGTAAAAAAAACTTTGATAGATGAAAACTGAGTTTGATGGAAAATGGTACAATAAAACGATTCGTTTACATTTAGCTAAATATTTTGCATTTAATCTGTTGCCTTTGACATTTCGTTGGTCTTAATTTGATGTTTTTAATTTTAAATGTTTCAATTTTTTTTGTCCTTTTTTATGTTAATGCATTTGCAAATTATTAATTTTTTTGTTGTTGTTGCGAAATTTATTTTTTTTTTAAAGAAAAACGATAAACAATTTTCGATACCATTTTTATATATAGTTAAATTTTTATGTTGAACCTGCAGATGGGAGGGAGGGCCACTCCAGAAATGAGATTAACACCAGCAAAATGACGATGTTTTGTTATTTTTTGTTTTTGTTTTTATTTAATATTTGGTAATAATATTTGATGACGATAAAATTGCTTGTTTTCATCGACTGTCATGTTCATTTGTAAAGTGGCTCACGGGGGACTGCGGTAGACATGATATATTAGAGAAATATGATTACTTCTATTTATTCTTGCTAATCCATTTGGAACAATTCGGGAATCGTTCTGGTGTGAAGTCTGAGTCGGTGCGAATTCGGTTTTGAACGTGATTCAATAGTGCCTGTTCATACGGCTCTTGTATGTGTTGATTCGACGAAATTGCTTCATCCAATGAAGCGGCTGTACTCGCCACAGAAGCTGAAGACGTGGATGATGATGCAGCGCCGCCATGTGATATGCGTGATTGCAAAACTTGACGTACCGTCTGTGGCAAAATGTTATTTGGCTCAGCTGCTAATGGTTTCGTGTTATTGATTAATTTGCGACGTTTAGATGACATTCCCGAAATGTACGCATCACTGAATGGTCTTTGTGGGCTCTGTGAAATATTTTTTTTTTGATAAACGAAAAACCCAATGTCTGGTATCAGTTATCAATTTCAAATAATGTTATTGTAAATTAGGCATACATACCTGTCGTCGTTGACGTGATATATCGCGTGTTATGATCGGTAACCACGGGGCTGGGAAATTGTTGTGCCAACTTTCCGAACCAAATGTAATCGTTGGCAATGGCTCAACATCTTCGGCTGGTTCACTTGCTTCGGCGCCCATAGATTCGTTGTTTGCCTCATCATCAATATCCGTTTCCATCAGTTCACTTTGACGTTGATCAGTTGGTGTTGGCGGTGGCGGCCGACGTATAACCAAAAATTCGATTACGTCTACTGAATCAAGTCGAATTTCTTGGAATCGTCGCAGAATTTCTTCATTTAAATGACGTCTTAGCCACTGCAATGCAACCCGAGACGTCTCCTCATTCACTGTTATTTAAAAACAATTAACATTGAGTGATACGTGTCAAGCTAATTTTTTATTTGTTATTGTTGTTGTTATTTATGAAAATTACCGTTTGTAGCAAAAATGCTCGTGAATATTGCCTCGACCACGTTTTTCAGATAGTCCTGTGTACTAGGGCGACCGATCGAATGAAGCAATATGACAATGAATCGTTTAGAGAATACAACCATTTCACGCAACAGCCGCGTGCCAAACTCAACCGATTCGTCGTCTCGAATTAAATTGATGATAAATGGCAATGTTCTACGTATTAAATTTTCAATTGAAGCTCTTGCATCATAGTCTGGTATGCTCAGCTCCGGCAATAATGAGAAGAAACGATTGAGAAGTGAAATTACGTGGTTCACCGCCTTTAAAATGAAAATTTTGAATGAACAGAAGAAAAACAACAGAGTGTCAATATGTATGTATACGATATGATGGAAATAGGTTTCAGTTAATTTACCAATGTTACATTCTCTTCGTTTGGGCCCGAGCTGAGTGACAGCTTCATTATCAAGAATTCGCGCAGCTCGCTTCGGATACGATTCAACGTTGATGGAGTGGGAGATACATTGACCAAATCGCGAATTTGCAACTGAATTTGATTTGAACCAAAGATCGGAATCACTGTGTTCAATTGTGCATCATTCAAGCTTCCGTGAGCTGGCACAGATGCGTTTGATTGGACAGATGTTTGTTGAGGCTGTGTTGGTGTGCTAGTTGTAGTAGGTACCGGCGCGGATCGATTCATGTGGCCATGCAAATGACTGCTAAGGAAATTCGCAAAGCGAACTGAATTCGGAACGGTGCGCTGAATATGCACTTGTGGTGTTCGTTGAATGCTTATACGATTGGTGCGTGGTTGTTGTGGCTGTTGTTGCTGTTGCTGCTGCTGTTGTTGTTGTTGTTGCTGTTGCTGCGGTGGCTGCTGCTGCTGCTGTTGTTGTTGTTGTTGTTGTTGTTGTTGTTGATGATTTTCGGAATCGTGTATGTGGTGGCTATTGCATGGTAAATAACGGTCAAACGATGAAAGTTGCATAGCTGGTCGCAGATTCCGAATTTGACCGACTGGTATACCAGTCGTCGCATGTGCCTGAGGTCTTGCGGTGGATCGTGTCTGGGTCGATGTTGTCGGATGCGTGGCCGTTGTAACTCGGAATTGACTGCGCTCTGGGATCAAAGCAAATAATTTATTGAATTGTGCTGATTTAAAAATGGAATATAATGATTACCTGTCTCGGAATTTGTGCTGTTCGTCGTTGCACCTGTTGAGCTTGCTCCCTGTTGTGGCTGTTGCTGGATTTCAATCTGTGATTCAAAACCAACCGGAGCATTTTGATTGATTTCAACATGAACATCTGCGTTTGCGGGCACCGAATCCATCACAGCTTGAATTAATCGAGCTACTGGGAATTGAGTCGCAGCTAAAAGATCGAAATCGATATTTTATGATTCGATTGAAAATCGTTCATTTGCCAATAATGCTTATGTACCTGTTCGTAGTGATTGCGAAATATTCTCGTTGGAACCTCGACTAGTGGCGTTTGATTGGGTCGAAGCTGCTGCCGCAGCCGTTTCGCCTGCATTTCGGGAAGTATTATTGTTGGCCGTGGCGTTGTTGTTGTTGTTGTTGTTGTTATTATTATTTGTGTTGTTATTTCCGTTCGTATCGGCACGGCGCGGCAAATGGTGAATCATGCTCGGTATGGCAAATCCAGAGCTAACGAATGCCGACTGTTCAACCAAGATTGGACGACAGCAAAGATGTCGAGGTGTATTTTGTGACAAATCTAACATCAAATCACTAATAGCGTGTTGAGCGTGCGAAAAGTAATGAAGAGCTTCAGAAACCCGATCAAAGATACGTTGTGCATTTTCCCGGGCACTTGAATCCTGAAAAATCATTAGAACATTCCAGGTTCAAATAAGTTTGAAACATTATATTTTTCTAGACTTTTCAAATGAACAGACACTTTGCTGTGATTAATGTAGTAAGTATAAATGCATTAAATTTCACTGCTGCTCACTCATGGTAAAATTCCAATGGACACGTGTATAAAATAATCTCTTTGAGTTTGCTTGAAAACTATTGCAATGGAATTAAAAACTTACATTTTCTTCGAATGTTGGCTCGTTCTGCAATATATCATAATACTGCTGTATGAATGGTTCAAGACGATTTTGCACAGTGCGCATCTGTTGAACAACTTCAGCCAATGTTTGTGGGCTCGTCGTTTGTTGCCTAATAATATCCAAATGATTGGTTAGTTGGTGGAATCCCTTTTGAAAAATCTATTTTGTTTAGCATGTTTTTGTCTACTTACGAGTTTCCAGTGGCTGTGTCTTCGCTTGATTCGCTCGAATTCGGTTCAGATGATTGAGTTTGATTTGTTGATGTTGAGCTTGAAGAGCTTGTTGTTGAATTTGCCGATGTACTACTGCTTGACGATGCCGAATTTAAATTTGCACTTGGACTTTGACTAACGCCAATAACCCGAACTGTTGGATTGCCCAAAGCGGTGGCATTCATTTCAATTGATGGTGCTGTGGCGCCAAAAACCAACGGAATGGTCGCTTGTGTGGTTCCATTAACAGAATCAACTGTTATATTTGGTAACCCATTCTAAAACAATTCAAATCGTACATAAGTTAAAGCCCAACAACATGGTATTTTGAAAAGTAATGTTAACTGTAACACCTGTTGAAAGGCAGCTGAAACGGCCCCTTGAAACAATTGAACCACATTTTGCACGTCTTGTTGCGGAACGTCAGCATCACTAACGGCTGATATGCCAACTTCAAATACAGTCGACTCCATTGTTTGCTGTGCCAAAATGTCCATGTCCGTATTATTCAATCCCTGCAACACAAAGAATAGATTGTTAGATGGATATTGGAATAGTCTCATATGAATGTGTATGTAAACTTACTCTCTCAGGATTTTCCAAGTAGGCGCCGATATTGTTGGCACAATTCAGCATGTGTCGAGCCACAGTGATTCTGTTCATACACAATGTTGATGACGGATTCATAGAGTGTGTAATTGATTGTGATGTCTTGAAATTAAGTAGAAAGAATATAAGATAAGAATATGGTGTGTCTGTACAATGTACATTGTCCTATGATTAATTGTACTTACTCCACTGTTTGTATTCATTGGAATCGCCATTGCGCCAAGTACGGTACCGTCCAAAACGTGAATGAATGGCACATTATTTCGGCCACTGTCATTGTTGCGATGTCGATCGTTCGTGGTAGAGTCTGTGTTGTTACTACTGCTACTGCCACCACGCGTTGAACCAGGTGGCGGACGCTGAACCAAATGTATCACCTTTCCATTAACATCTACCGGAATTCAATCATTATTTGATTATTATTATTCACATAGAACCATAGCCAAGTATTGTATAGATTTGAAAATGTACTCACTGTAATCGCTAAGTGGATGATCATCGTTCATAACCCGTCCGCAATAGATGAGTCTTTGTAGGTCAATTTCCACATTGGTCTTTTCATGAATGCGCTCTTTGAGCTGTCTAACGGTGATCTATTGACATAAAGTAAAATATACCAAGTGAACACCAATTTCGTAATTATTTCATATCATTTCGTTTGATTTTTTCAATGATTCGTCGAAAAATTCAAGAAAAACACAAATAAAAGAAGCTTACGTCATCTTCAACAGAGAATTCATGATCCTGTGAATCCAATGTTTTAACTCGCAAATTTATCACCATATTGAGTAAATGTTCGCCAAATTCGCCTAAAAACCAAATACACAATCGTGAATTTTATAACAACTATAACTGAACTATTGTTACAAAGAGGACACAAAATATAGCTAAACACAAAAATTATTCAGAAATGAACTTGAAAACATAACCAAAAATGAATTTTCACGAGAAATGTTCCGATTTCACAATATATACGATAATACATTGTAGTCATGACGAAAAAAAGCGACTTCGGTCGGAACAATCGAGGTTCCAGTAATTATTCATAGAGCATTCATTTCGATTTTGTTACATTAATCATACAAACTTTAGCTGAATATGGAATGTGCACAAAGAATGTGAAAAATAAAATTAAAAACAAATTGACAATGTAATATCTAGACGCCTTTTTCAAAATGTCTTCAATAATTTCATGTGCACGGACATAAATAAGATTTTTTTATTCACAAACACACTAATCGCCTTTCGTGTAACATATACAGACACACGAATACAGAATAAGCGTGAGTGAGAATGAGAGGTAGGTAGATAGACAGTGGATGTTTGTGTGTGTGTGTAGAAGAGAGGAAGAGAAAGAGGGAGCGATAAATGGAGAAATTTCATATGAACACTTACGCTAAATAGAGCTAAATTAAAAGTTGAAATTGCCAATTGATTATTTGAATTCGTGGTTATTGTTTGGTCCTATCTACGAAAATGTTTATTGTATCTCGGATTCCTTTGCAAAGTAACAAATTCGAAGGAAGATATTTATAAAACTTTTTTGTACGGTGTCAGTCCAGACACAAAAAGCTACAATGAAAAACCTCTATTCTAAATAGAAGGAATGCGTGTACTGTCAAAATAAAAAAGTATGGCGACGTTCAACAGAGACGACAGTACGAAGTGCGTTCAATGACATTTTACGAAAAGACCTTTACGAATATTTTTGAACATTTGCAATTGAATTTGACGGTTGGAAATGTATATGAACCATCAATAAATTTGTTGTTGATTTTTCATTTTGATTTGCATGGAACAAAGAATAGTACAATTGTTTCTATAGTTTTGATGAACGTTGAATATCTTGTCTATTTTCAATGCGAACATATACACGTTAAATCACACAAGAAAATGTCAGTTACGTTCGAATTTAATGACAATTAATTTAATAAGTCCATAATTGAAATCCTTTTTCCCAGTCGATTTTTGTTGCATTAATGAACCAATTTAGTTTACAAATAAAAAGAATTACATTGGTAATCCCGAACTTTTCCGTACCGTTGGCCTGCGTTGTCTGTAGGTACTTTTGGTTATTTTTTGTGAATTTTCTTGAAATAAAGGCAGCGAAAATATAATAATAAAAATAATGAGAAAAATCGGTCACTTTAACTAAAACTTCGACAATTTTGTATGAGAGGTACCCGTAAACCGATTCCTATTGGCTTCAAACTTTTTGAGTCTTCATTTTTTTGGAGGAAAAATAAGATTCTGAAAGTTTCATGTTGATCGCATTTGCAGAAGTTTGATTTTTTGTCCTCAATTTTTGTCGAAATTTTCTTGGAAAAAATTTAGGGCCCAAAACCAAACTTCTGCGAATGCGATCAACATGAAACTTTCAGAATCTTATTTTTCTCCCAAAAAATGAAATCCTAGAAAGTTTGAAGTCAATCAGAGTCGATTTACAGGTACCTCCCATACAAAAGTGTCAATTTTTCGAGGTTTTTCTTAGGGCAAGTACCCCAGGATCAAATCGAAAATGGCTCATCTTCGAACTTAAACTAAGTTTTTCGAATACAAAACTTTTGGCGTTTCCAGATTTTGATTATCTCAATTATTTTTTGAGTTATCGTGTTAACACACACCAACGACGACGACGACAACGACGACAATGACGACGGCACACGAACGGAAAAGTGTCTCAAAAAGTTTTCTACGCGTTTCATGAGTTTTTATGATGATTCAAACCAATTTTGCGAAAAAAGTTTTCGGAACCAATTCCTATACTTTCCCTTGACACGTTGTGTACGGAAAAGTAAAATGGCAGAAATTACCAACAAATATACAAAGTGGCTCAAATCGAGTATCTTTCATACAGATTTGTTGTTATTGTTGTTGTTGGCCATTTATATTTTGCTAACCACAATTATTCAAATCACGTGAAACATATGAACACTAAAATGCATCAAGTTCGTGCGATTCAAATATATTTATGATCGAATACCAATACAACTGAGAAGGTTATCAAGCGCAATTGTATAAACACGCGTGTAATCAATTAATTGCCATCAAAAGAAATAAAAAGAGATCGTTCGTTCGATAAATGTTACCGGTAACAGTTAAAATGTAGAACTAAAACCAACAAAACAGTTTATTACTATTATACCGTTTTTGTCTGATAGAAAAATTGATGGAGTCAAATCATTTTTATCGCGATTTCTTATTTTTATCAGAGCTTAATAAGAGATCTGGATGCAATCATAAATAAGGTGTACGATAAAGTGTCTGGAGTTGAAGCTTCAGACTTTCATTCAAGTTTAAAGTGCGATAAAAGCAGGATTCTTGACATTGACAAAAAAATTCCAATATTCAAATCAATTTGCGAAAATACCGAATGATTATAGTAGAATAATAAAATGGATGTTGGTAGTGAAATTAGTAATGAAGTGAACGCTATTGAATATATCTTAAAAGACTTAGGTGGAACGTTTCAAAAATATCAAATATACAACTATTTGATGATTTGCTACTTCATGTTCACTACGGGGACATTTGTGCTTGATTATGTGTTTTCCACACTGAAAATTGATCACAGGTAATTGAATCATAACATCTAGAAAGAAATCTATTGGTTGAAATAGATCTTTGCTCAAAAATCACAAGATGCAAAATAGACGGATGTGATGGCGAAAGTTTAGGAAACAACATATTCCAGCCGGACTGGTTACGACATTCAACTCCACACTTTAACGGCAAGTTCGATTCATGTCATCGCTATGCGATCTCTGATCGTGGCCGAAATCAAGATGAATACATTTGCGACGCCGATATGTTTAACCATATTGTGGCAATGGATCAATGATATATAGCACTAACGAAGTATCCATTGTTAATCAGGTAAACCCCCCTCTCTCGCTCTCATTTGCACAACGTTATAATCAGATTTTGATATTTAGTTGAGCTTGACTTGTGCGGAAAATCTGTGGAAAATCGCAATGGTAGGAACTTAGAGTAACATTAGCAAGACTAATATTTCTTCCGGCTATTAGCTATTTTTCGGATCGGTGAGCTAAGAACAAAATTTTACCACTTAACAACAATCGCATTGTACATAATGTGTCTCTAGATCTGGAAGGAAAGGTGTACTAGTAACAATGACCGTGATGAGCTCAATACTGAAGGTTTTGAAGAGTTTTGCAAGCAATTATACTTCATTCATCATTTTAGAAATATTCTGGGTTTGCCAGTGCAATTTATCCGACCGCCTTGGTGTGAAACATTTTCTTATTTTTCTAGAGGAAAAATTGTCTGATTGTTTAATTTTTCATATAGATTCTGGCCATGGAACTCGCAACAACTGCAGACGGCAATCTTGTCAGTTGTGTAGTTTTAACAGTTAATCCTTTGGGTCAGGTGGTTACTGCTATCATCGCATCATATCTCCATCATTACCAGGTAAACACATACACTGTAATGAAGCAAGAATTCATTTTTATAGTTTTATTGCTGTAAATTCAAGTGAATCCTAAGAGTTATTGCCCTGTTTGGTTTTGCAACGTTTCCATGCTTTTGGATGTTGCCCGAGAGTTTGCGATGGCTTTGAGTAAATCGAAAGTATACACAAGCCGTCGAAACGGTTGAAAATGCAGCCAAAATCAATGGAATAATACTTTCTCCAAAGACATATGAAATAATCGCAATCACGTGTGAGCATGCACATGAAGATGCGGTTGTCGAAAGTCACGATACCTTCTTGGACATTATTAAGAGCTGTTCATTAGCCATTCGCTTGATGATGTGTGCGTTTTGATGGATTTCATCCACGTTAATAACGTAATTTACTTTAAAACACACACATTTTAAATTTTATTGTTTATCCTTATAAATTGCATCGAATTTTCATTTGACCGTCTCAAGCAGAGATTACTATGGGATACTTTTTATTCATATTCAGTTTTTTTTTCATCCCATTGGTAAGATTGCTTACCCTTTCGCTTTTATACTGCAAATGCGTTACAAAAACGCAACGCATGAAAAATATCTGATATTTTTATGCGATATTTTTATCCCATATGAATAAAAATATCCCATAGTATTCTCTGGGCTGGAATTCTAAGTCATTTCACCAAAATCGTTCGGAATTATTTTTTTCGTACGTAAGACTGTATTGGAGTGGAAGAGAGAGATTCCACTAATTTTCATCATCCCATCGAAATTATTGCGATAACTTTCACCTTTGAGTTATCGGGATAATTCCGATGGGATGATGAAAATTAATGGAATCTCTCTCTTTCACTCCAATATAATCTTACGTACGAAAAAAATATTTCCGAACGATTTTGGTATGACTTAGAATTCCAGCTCTGGTCTCAAGTTTTTATACTTTTCATATTTACATTTTTACATTTTAGATATGGTGTGTCGATACTTTCAGTGTCTATGCCCGGCGATAAGTATGTTAACTTAATGGTAGTTTCGTTTGCTGGAGTGCCAAGCACTCTCGTCACATATTTAATGTTAAAATACATGAGCAGGCGTTGGTCATTGTGCATTTCATTCTTGATAACTGGATTGACGATTTTTGCTTCGAAATTTTATTCCGAGGACGAAACAATATCATTAGTATTTTTCTTCATGGCCAAACTCTTTATTAATCACTCGTTTGCCTATTTGTATGTGTACACAAATGAAATATGGCCAACAATTCTACGACACCGAATTAATGGTTTTTGTTCAATGATCGGACGTATTGGATCGATCAGTGTTCCACTGGCTCCGATGCTGGTAAGTGGATACTACATGACTATTTTATAAATGCACATTCGAACTACAATAATTACATGCGGTTTGATTTTGTTTTGCCTCCATACACCCGTTTATGAATAAAAATGCACTTTGTTGCTAATTGATCGATATATTTCGGGCAAGGGCCATCATCAGGATCATCTATTTAACAATTGAAATACAAAATCTTGATTTGCAACTAATTTTGAATGAAATGTATTTCAATTGTTAAATAGATGATCCTGATGATGGGCCTTGCCCGAAATATATCGATCAATTAGCAACAAAGTGCATTTTTATTCATAAACGGGTGTATGGAGGCAAAACAAAATCAATCCGCATGAAAAAACATTACCCGGCAATACAACAACAGAAATGAATTACAATAATAACGTCAATCGTTCGCCTGGACTTAGGCAACTGTACATGAAATGCTGCCCTTCTATTTATTCAGTGGATTTGCATGCTTATCAGCCGTCATGATACTATTTTTACCGGAGACATTTAGACAAGAAAAGCTGCCTGATTCAATTGACTACATCAAAAAAAATGAAAAGATAAAATGAATCACAACAGTAAAAATGATTGACAGTAATTTCGAATCAATTAGAGCCAAATGACAGACGAATGTGCTTTAATTGCATTGTAATCTGCTACAATAAATAAATTATTTGTTGACAAAATAAATAAATAAACGCGCAAATCATTCAACAATCTTACAATTTTATCTTTGCTTGAATGGCATCACAAAGTAGCACAGTGAGAATACGAAGGAATTTCAAAGAAAAAAATATCGTTTCAAAGTAAATGTACGAGACTGTGTCTGTTTAGGTGCGAGATGATGTTCTGGCAAGTGAAATCTGTTGATTATTTTCATGGTATTTTTCCAACGCACGTAAATTGTTGTTTTGTATACCGTGCATAACGACCTCCGCACGAAAGGAGCCTCATTTATTTTATAAACAATATTGGCTCCACCTTCAAGACACTCTTATTTGTTATCAAGATAATAAACATCTCCAGAATGGAAAAAACAACAATATTTTGTTGAACTTTCTTTTTCTTTCGATGCTCACATTACTCAATGCCACATCAACGAATTCGTGCCCCTGTTTGGTGTTTGCGTGCCGATTCGTCACCGACCAGGGACGAACTCATTCGACACCGCTCCATTTGATTTCCGAACATTCCCCTTTCTTTTATCAGCCGAATCATGCGCTTTCATCCTCATTCATATCGCACCGTTTTTCCGTATCTTCGTCGAATTCGTGCCGACCAAGTTCAGTTGCTACTTGCGATCCGGCCAATGCTGTCGACAGTACAACCATAATTCCAATAATTTTTTATTTATAAAATACGATCGCTTTTCGATTTTCGTCAACACAATTAGCCGTTGACGACAAGACGGTTTTGTCCCGTTGCCTAATTTTTCTAAATCGATCATTTTTCTACTCTAGATTCCTCTATTTTTTTTCCCACTGCATTGGATGACTAAGTCAATTGGCTCCAAATTGCTAGTTGATTGCTTCTGCGGTGTATGGCGGTGTATGGAGTATAACGGAAAAAATTGAATTATGCTGGCTGGAACCAAACAAAAGGGAACATTCACGAATCAAATGGTGAAAACAACATAAAATTAAATAAGACTCTCTCTTTCTCTTTGGTAATATCAAAATCAGATTTTATTTCTCCGGATACGGAATGATTTTTTTGAGCATATATGAAATCACATCTGTAATCGTCCTTTCCCATCTTAAGAACAATTCTCAGGTTTAATCAGAAATATCTATTTATCTTCGAACAAGAATACATTGGCTTGCCGCATATATATATATATATGTTATTTGCTATTTCATATCGTTGGGTTGGGGGAAGAGCTCGTTGTTTTTTTTTTGTTATTTATTTCTGTGTGGTTATAGCGACACAGTGCTCTTGTGAAAACTTAACAAATGATTGAGTTGCCATTACACGCTTCGACAGAATTGTATCTGTATTTTTATTATCTTCGCTTTATTGTTTCGATAATAGTCATGGTAGTTTTCATCCCCTTCGACATCAATGATTTATATCGGCTACGAAAAATGATTTGCTGTGGAAGCGCAAAAAAGAGCAATCCAAAAAAATTGAGTACGAAAAAAAACAACCGAAATAAAGTTATGGATTGAGAGAGACAGAGGGAGTAACCAATTTGGAAATGGAATGAATTTCGATACTATCGAGACATTTTTTGTAATCGCATCTCTCATAAAACTCAATTTAAGCACAAAAATGAATTGGAGAACTGCACTATCTCCACCGTTCATCAAGACATTCACTGTTCAACTTTGTCAGAGGTTTGTATTGCTTGAAATGACCTTTTCCGTTGCCGAGAACCGTATTCCAAAAGCTGATGGCATATGAATTTTCACCATACAATTTGAAGTTGTGATTCGGAATTTTCTGCTCAATTAAAAGAGTAACTTTCAAGAGAAATATGGTACACGCTTTCAAATATTCAAATGATATGTGTTTCAACGTACCTGCTGATCATTGCCAGTCGGATAATCTTTGCTTGTGAATTTGTCCGAATATTCCGTATTTAGCACAGCGGCAGTTTGCTCCTCACATCGCTGTGCACATAATTCATTGAGCATTTGATTAAAAAGTTTTTCCTTCACATATCGTTTTCGGGAGATTGCTGTAGAAAAATGTGGAAAAGAGAAACGAAATGAATGAAATAAATGCGAAATGCTGATTCAAAACAGACGACAAAGATGGGAAAATTATTCAAACTTTTCACAATTTCTGGAACGTTGGAATCCATTATAACTCGCTCGTATGAGCCACGTTAACACTCAGTTAAACTACCTTAGAACTTTTAAAATACGATGGGTTATTCACAGAAAATCAACTAAATTATCGAACAAACGGTCACAGCTTGTTATAGCAACGGATTCAATCCAATCAAATGTGTTCGTTCAATACTTTTCATTGAACTCGTTTAGAGCCTGGAACGGTAATCAATTCGAGAAAAAATAGTTTATCACTTTAATATAAAAACAACATTTAATTGTGCGATCTTTTGCTCCAGTACCCGGGTGAACGCGATAGGCGTTGATGAAAGCCTACAGTCGTTCGATGAGGCTTCCATAATTTGTATTTACATTTTAAATACCGAACGCCTAGGCTTTCATTGCTATTCTCACTTCTTTCGTGCATTCGTAGCAATGAACGCCTAGGCGTTCAGTTGTATGTGAAACGTACACAGCTCAGCTCGAAGCCGATACCGGGTGTCACACTCACACTAACGCACTGCGTTTCACGTACAACTGAACGGTATTTAAAATGTTATGAAAGCCTCATCGAATGACTGTAGGCTTTCATCAACGCCTATCGCGTTCACCTGGGTACGTTTGTTTTGTTATTTTCAAAGCAAATGGTAAAAAAAAAGTAAAAACAGTAGCAAATGATAATAATTAGAGTAGGGAATGGAATTGGGTTTTATTTTGTTGAAAAGGTACTACAGAAAAGCACAAAAAATATTTATTTGTTGTCCATTACATTAACTTAAGCACTTGAAAAGGCACAAAAGTTTCAAAATTCAAATGGAATGGAAATTACAAATCGTTTCTGTAAAAATGTAGGGTCAGCGATAAAAGACCAAAGTACATGAATTCAGTAAACAAAACTTTATAACATTCACTGGCTCTTGAACAGTACAAACACTTTCACATCCGAATGCATATTCACAAGGAAAGTTGCACGTGAATGAAGAGTAAAGCGTTTGAACAGAAACAATTACAGTGTAACTGCAAGCCGATGAATCAAAGCTGAAGAAAGTAGAAGAAAAAGTGCGAAAAGTAAGTAATGTCACATTAAAAAAGTTTGTACTTTGAACTCTGAAGTGACGGAAATTAAGTGCTACGTACAACAAACGAAGTAAATTTGTATCACAAGTAAGAAATGTTGAGAAAATACGCACATCGACTGGAAAAGACCGGGAGTGCGAGCAATAGCAAGCAAACGATGAGAACGTTAAGAAATGAATCAAGAAAAATGGAATGCAGTTGTTCACTTGAATAGTTTAATCATGTCCAATGCTGAAAGAGGATTTTTTTTTCCTCTTTTCACTTTTGTACATTTCTCTTCTCTTTTTTTTTTTGCTATCATCGGTAATGCGATAAAATTCTTAAAGGGGAATTTATTGAAAAGAAACGATTAGTTGGAAATGTGAATGTATGCGAGCCAAAGTGTCTTAGAAATGGAAAGTGGAAAGTCGAAGGGAGGAAAATGTTTTTTGTGAAAGGAATCGTTGATCGTTGATGCGGTAATTCACAATAAAGATGAAGCATGGTTGAAAAATAGAACGTACTACGTGAGTGCATTGATGACAAAATCAGTGATAACAACAAAACGAAAGAGAAAAAAAACTAAAAAATCATTCTTTGTCGTTCTTAATTTGAAGCCGATAAGTATTAGACATCGACTTTATGTGCAAGAACGGTCTAATTCAATATTTCAATTTCTAAGGAGGAAACATTCAAGAGACATTCGACACAGCAACACAACAAAATACAACACAATGCAAAACAATTCAAGACCAAGCAAACACGAAATGGAAAAGTTTTGAAGAAATCACAACAAAATGACGATTTCTATGCGAAACGAACTGAGACAGAGGAATTCTTCTCGTCATATACATAAGGGTAGTTTGTTGTGATTTTGCTTGCAGCAAAAATCACCAACGCATGCCAACAGCAGCAGACATCGAGCGCACTGTGCAGTGTGCATGCATCCGACTTAAAATGCACATCGACAGGACAAAAAGTGCACAAACTGTTGAAGCTAAGATGTACAATCTTTTAAACTTTTGTTCTGCAAATTATGCAAGCATTGATTACGGAGCATTATATGCTGGAATAGAAAGTAGAAGAATCAAGACAGCTGAGCGAATAAAATGGAGAGAAAGAGAGAGAGAGAGAGAGAGAGAGAGAGAGAGAGGAAGATGGAGAAAGAGACAG